GCCACCCATCGCACCGGGGTCTCTTGCGATGAACAAGTTGAATTAGTGAGGTGAATCTCCATGCAATTCAAATGGAGAGTAAGCTCACTAATAACAGAGAGTCACACGACTTTTGTCATCTGACGAGTGACAGAGTGTCACACGATTCGCGGAATAGACCTGAAAGACAAGCAATGATATCTGCGGAAATACTCAGGGGAAAACGAGGAGAATTTTATACCGGAAGATCCTCAGCAAAACCGACATTCGAACCTGACCGAAAACCCCTATGGACTTTGGTAGATACATCATTATTCATTATTCATGAACATTTAGTGTTCATGATTAGTAAACATTGCTCGCAGCTTGTGTCACTTTTTCTCGAGTGAGTGAACTCAAATTCATCGGTGCAGTCGTCCATGATAATCGTTTTGTCTTTATTGATTAGTCAGTGCTGGGTCATTGAGCCGAAGTACCGTATGCGTGATAATGTTTGCACCATCGTACCAATAAGGTTCCCGTTTCACCTGTGCCTACAATGCCTTGGTTTTCTTTGCATGCACGTAACCTATAGCTCATACCGTAGTAGGCTGTGTATAAAAGAAAATGATTTACTTAGTTTGACAGTTGCACCATGACGAAGTGGCAGCGTACTCGTGATTTGTCCCACGCGCAAATTTCAATCGCCGTGGGAGTGTCCCGGTGGACCGTCAAAAAGGGTTTGACCGAGAAAAGAAAGGAAGGAAGATTCGGGTGAATCCAGTACTTTCAATAAGGAACAGGAACACGGGATGATTAACATAGTTTAAGACTCTGAGAAACATCCCCCCTTCGAATAAATAAAAAAAACTCGAAACCGAAATTTTTGCGAATTTTTTCAATTTTGACGGTGCAAATATTATCACACATACGGTACGTTAGGCTGATGTGAATCTATCTGTCATTCTACATAATAAACTTGTAAATGTAGCTCGACTCTCACAGAATATCCTGACCTATCCTTCGTTCTAAATGTAAATTTGACCATCGTACGATGCAGGATATGTTTCCGGCCGTTCCCATTTCGGTTATGACTACCGGTTTGTTTTTGAATTCCATGTTTACACCAACGGCAGACTCAACGATTTCTCCAATCGCATTCCGAACCAGATCTTCTTGGTGTAGAGTTCAAACTATTTAATAGTGACAATTAGGACCAGTGTTTATTTGTAGAATCCACCTACCCCGAAAAGGCCGATTCAACAATGGTCTGTGTTACTGTGTGAGTAAGATCGGCTTGCTAGTTGTGAAAACGCGCGAACAAACGACGAGACAAACGACGAGGCAAACGACTCGGGCACTTGAATACCGATCAGCGTATTGAATGGCAGCAGAGAAGCTGAACTCCCGATCGAACCAACTCTACAAATTTGGCGCAGCCGGTAGGATAAATGGTGAGTAAAATTGAACTGGAAAACGAAACAATTTATTTTTATTCGATTTGTGAAGTGAAACGTGCAAGGAAATAATCGAAGGAAAGGTGATGGATTAATCAGAATAGTGATTTTCGTTGTGCTTTAAACTGCGTTCTGTTCCGTCGATTTAGAGTAATGTGAGGTTAGGCTGCAAGTGAATAGAAGCGAGCCCGGAGAAATCCGTAGCGCTAAGATCATGGCGAGACCGGAGAAATCCGAAGCGTCGGAACTAAAAGCGAGTCCGGAGAAATCCGTAGCGCTGTTGTAAGCGAGTCCGGAGAAATCCGAAGCGCTAAGATAAAAGCTGAAGCGTCGGAACTACAAGCGAGTCTGGAAAATCCATAGCGCAATACGTAGGGCGAGGCCGGAGAAATCCGAAGCGCCAATGATGCAAGCGAGTCTGGAGAAATCCATAGCGCTGTTGTCTAATGCGAGTCCGGAGCAATCCGTAGCGCTGCACGTTCAAACGAAGAAAACCAAATCGAAAAGTATAATTGACGAGATTTGAAACGTGTTGGAAAGAGAGATGAGCATAACCTATTCTTTTGTAAAGGAAATAAAATCGGTTTTACAAATATCTGCCGTATATTTTTCTCGGAGAAGAAGAAAGGTGTAGAGTTCAAACTATTTAATAGTGACAATTAGGACCAGTGTTTATTTGTAGAATCCACCTACCCCAAAAAGGCCGATTCACCAATGGTCTGTGTTACTGTGTGAGTAAGATCGGCTTGCTAGTTGTGAAAACGCGCGAACAAACGACGAGACAAACGACTCGGGCACTTGAATCCCGATCAGCGTAGTGAACGGCAGCAGAGAAGCTGAACTCCCGATCGAACCAACTCTACACTTGGCATATGACCAACACTCGTTGGAGGTAACCCGTTGCGGCTGTCTTGACAAAAACACAAGCCGCAGGCGTTTTCGCTGCGAATCAAATTAGACGGACTGAATATTGTTAGTTTGATTCAATTCATGGTGCAGAAAATACTGACAGATTTTCGAAATGTGACAGAAGTTTCCACAACTTCATGGGAGTTCAGTTAGTTCCAGGTATGTTTAAATATCTTGAAGAATGACCAGAGAACTTTGTAACATTTCTGAGAACTTTAGAGCAGTTCCATGAACATCAGATACCCAATTGGAACTTTATAGATGTTCTAAGAACAAAGATTCAGAAAACCTCAAAAAAGTTTAGATATCTTAAAGAAAGTTACGCGAATATCGGGACAGTTCGGAGAACTTCAGAGTAGTTCCATGACCATCATAAACATTAGGGAATTTTCCAGGACTGTAAAACAATTATTGGAAACAATTATTGGAAACAATTAAGAAGTTTTGAGTATTTTATAAAAGATCCAAGAACGTCAAAGAAGATCCGAAAACTTCAGAGAAGTTTAAAGAATTTCGAGATCGTCTGGAGAGCTTCCAGGAAGTTAAATTACCTTAAAGGGTAAGTTCCAATAGTTTCAGTGCAGGTCCATAGCTTTCAGGAAAATGTTTAGAACTTCGATTTAGTTTGGGGAAATTTCAGAAACTTTACAGAAGTTTCTGGGTAATTCTGGGAACTTCAGTACAGTTCCGAGAATTTCCGAAAAATGTGTAGGAGCTTCAGGGAAGTTCCAAAAACTGCAGAAAAGATAAGAGAACTTCAGGGCAGTTCTATTCACGAAAATTTAAAGAACTTTCAAAAAATGAAAGTAAGTTTAGAGAATGCCTGGGAAGTTTCTTGAAGAGACTGTGGGAACATGAGGAAAGTTCCCAGAACTTCTGGAAAAGTTTCCAGCTCCTCTAGGAAGCTTCAATAACTTCAAGGCAATTCCATTAGCTTCAGGAAAACTGCAGCAACTTAAGAAAGTTCTGGGAATTTCAGGGATATTCGAAGGACTTCCAGGAAGTCAAAAACAATGTCCAGATAAATTTTAAAAGCTTCAATGAAGTTCCAAGATGCCCAGAGAAACTACGCTTAAAGATCTTCAGGGAAGCCCAAATAGATTCAGTCATATTCCGAGAATTTTTGGAATGTCCAGATTTTATGGAAGATTAATAATCTATAAGGGCAAGTTTCGAAAAACTCAGGTCAGTTCAAAGAATTTCTGGAAAATTTCGATAACTTTTAAGAAGTTCCGGAAAGATGAGGGAAGTCTAGTTTAAAGATTTTTCGGTCATTTCCTTTTGTTTCAGAGCACCAGAGCAGCACTTCAGCTCCGAGAACAACAGAGAAGATCAATGGAATTACAACATTTTCAAAGAAGTTCTGAATAACTTAGTAAGTTCCATGAACATCGGGAAAATGCGGGTATGTTTTGATGGTAGTTCCGGTAACTATATGACAGTTTCGAGAACTTTAGTTAAATAGCGGGTACTCCAGCGAAGATCAGAAAACTTTAAGACAGTCCCTTTAATTTAGGAACAAAACTTCTAAGAACATCCGAGATCTTCAGGGAAGTCTAAAGAACTTCAAAGAAGTTTAGAGATTTTTATGCAGTCTCTTTATCTGCAGGAAAGTTCCGAGTACTTAGTGCAAGATCAAAGAACTTCAGAGCACTAACTTCAGTAAAATTGCAAAAACTATCAAGAAATTTCAAGGAATCAGAGCCTTAAACCTCGATATTGTCATCAATTTAGCACGAGCCAATAATGTTACATCGGTCTGTGAGTAAAAATCAACACGACACGTTCTTCAGCGCTAAGCTGGTGTAAAATGAAAATAATCATATTGCATTTGATCCTCACTATCGCTCTGAGTTAGGAAGATCTACAAGATGAACACGAATATTGATGTTGAAAACAACACAGGCGATAATGAACAGTCACGGACGAAGAAAAACAAATGTTGACTTCGATACTCAGAGGTTGCCTTGATCAAGAGAATGTTGTTATGTCAAAATTCGAATTCATGCAGGTAGTAGGTCTATCTGTTAAGGTTGTCTTAATTTTCAACTAAGTTGAGTGTAGAAGAAATGATTTGTATCAGCACTTTCAGCAACTAAAATTGTTTGTTGGGATACCCTAATTAAAATAACCATAAAAGAGAGCATAACGACGTGTTTAGGGTATCATCCAAACCATTTGTGGGATAGTTTACCCATCCGGGATACACTTCGTTTAAGGTATTTATTTATGAGGGTATGCTCTGCCGAAACCCTGTGGGTGAGCTATTAAAATGCATTTGAAGACGATACAATAAAACCCCATTTGAACTGAATAACAAGTAAATGCCGATGGATTAACAACGGGAAATGGATTTCCCAAATTGTCTTACTTTCCAGGAAGAAATACCGTACCCATCTGAGAGCAATAAAGATCTTCATCGAAATTTCACAGAACCCCAACAATAACGGCATCGACCACAAGAGCCAGTATCACGAAATGTGTACGTTACAACTTCGTTGTCTCGAGGGACTTTCTGAACAACCGTCGTCGTCGTCCCACAGCAATCAATCAGCGCGCGTCCGAATGAGAGGGAGAAAAAAAAACAAAAAATCGGTATAATTCTTCGAAGATCAACAACAAGAAACAAAACCCCGCACCGCCACACAGTGACTAAATCTTTAAAACAAGACAGACCTTCCACGTGGAGTACCTTCTCAGCTGGCTCTCGGCGCGTAATGTTGCTTTTCTTTTCGTTCCCGGAATAATCACTTTAACTTTTACTTTTTCCCGGCAAATTTTCCCACCAATTTCAAAGATTCTTCTTTTTTATTTTTCAATAACGGTACCGTATTACTTCTTGCCCTACATTCCCAATCTAAAAAAACACTTCCGTAATCACTTTTACTTGGAATTCCCACGAAGCTTCTGGCAATCTCTCGCCACTTTTTTTCATATCACCAGTTATTCAGAAGTACGGAAATCATTATCCCAGATTATTACTTCCATCCGACTACGTTGGCTGACGTTGGATCCTGGATCGTCAAATTTCGCTACCGCAGTAAAAACCCTCCGGGATTCCTTCTATGCTGCATATATTCCACATCCTTCACACCACCAACCAGAAGAGGAAAATCCAACGACATAAATCACAAGCGAAATCCATTAAAATTCAACACTTTGATATCTTCTTCACATCTCCAGGAAAATTTACACCACCACCACACACTTTTCCCCCCTCACCTAAAGCCAACCCACGACGGGATATGTACTACGGGTTACTAACGGTAGCAGGAATGATCCACAACAAAACAGAAAACCTTAGGCATTTTCACGCACGAACACACCCACGGCGAGCACGTTATCCGTCCGTCACAACAAAACGCGGAAACCACACAGTTCCAGGAATCTTCACGTCCAGTCGCGGTCGCGTTCAACAAGCGAATGTCGTTCCGTTCTCGTCCGCACCGGAGCAAGCAAAACAATGGAGACGCACGGTCCGTCACTCATCCGGTCATTGCAGCGAACAAACAGCCAGACGTGTAAACCCAACGTCCAAACAGGTCAACTTCACTCGCCATACTGAATTGCGATGGAAGCGGAAACTGAAAGTGGAAATCGTTGTTTTGATATCCTCCGTCGTGTACACGAAGCCGACAGTAGAGGCCTTCGGGTTGCGAGCGCGAGTTCGGAAAAAAAGGTGAGTCGGGAAAATCAGCTGTGGTTGTTGTGTGTGATAGGTAGGTAAATGCCGGTTCCGTGCGATTTTCGGACATAAACAGAGAGCGTGAGAGTCGGTAAAAGCGGAGCGTATCGATTGAAGCAACATGTAGATATTCACGGAAAAAGGCCAATAACATTGGCGGTGGTGCAGGAGGGGGATTTTAGTTGGAAACACATATAGGGGAAACAGCCCTATTGTTGCGGTACGTTAGCAGCATTTGAAACCTATTGTTGTGTATGGAGGTCTCCATACACAACAATAGGCTTCTAACGCTGGTAACTTACCGCAACTGGGGCTGTTTCCCCTAATCTGTTTCTGAATATCCTTCAATTTTTTGGTGCTTGAATTTTGCATGTTGTTGAATTGTCAATACTGTCTTTAGCTTTAAATTACTATCTATCTATCTATCTATCTATCTATCTATCTATCTATCTATCTATCTATCTATCTATCTATCTATCTATCTATCTATCTATCTATCTATCTATCTATCTATCTATCTATCTATCTATCTATCTATCTATCTATCTATCTATCTATCTATCTATCTATCTATCTATCTATCTTTCTATTATCTATCAATCTATCTATCTATCTATCTATCTATCTATCTATCTATCTATCTATCTATCTATCTATCTATCTATCTATCTATCTATCTATCTATCTATCTATCTATCTATCTATCTATCTATCTATCTATCTATCTATCTATCTATCTATCTATCTATCTATCTATCTATCTATCTATCTATCTATCTATCTATCTATCTATCTATCTATCTATCTATCTATCTATCTATCTATCTATCTATCTATCTATCTATCTATCTATCTATCTATCTATCTATCTATCTATCTATCTATCTATCTATCTATCTATCTATCTATCTATCTATCTATCTATCTATCTATCTATCTATCTATCTATCTATCTATCTATCTATCTATCTATCTATCTATCTATCTATCTATCTATCTATCTATCTATCTATCTATCTATCTATCTATCTATCTATCTATCTATCTATCTATCTATCTATCTATCTATCTATCTATCTATCTATCTATCTATCTATCTATCTATCTATCTATCTATCTATCTATCTATCTATCTATCTATCTATCTATCTATCTATCTATCTATCTATCTATCTATCTATCTATCTATCTATCTATCTATCTATCTATCTATCTATCTATCTATCTATCTATCTATCTATCTATCTATCTATCTATCTATCTATCTATCTATCTATCTATCTATCTATCTATCTATCTATCTATCTATCTATCTATCTATCTATCTAAGGCTGTTCCATTTGGTGAATTTTTACTTAAATTTGACAGATGGAAAATTTTCAAAAAAACCTGCTGTTCCAGTAGACTTATTTCTGACAGACAAGGAATCAATTTTGACAGACACTTTCTCGAAAATCGGCCGATCTACAACAGAGGGATTTTCGAACATCTTAATTTATTTTCGAAGTATCAAATCTAAGTCAAAATTTTCCAAATGGAATACAGCCTAAGATAAGTTTTGGCAATTTGCCCCAATATCACCCCTAAAAATGCTGGATGTTCAATATAATCACAAACGATTTAAGCTACCTTCCTGCACATTCGATTGCCGTCGGTGATTGGATGGCAATCGATGTCCGTCGGTGATTGGCACTAGATTGCGGAACAGATACCGACGTTAAATAAAGGAAAAAAGATCCATCTTCCATTAATCATATTCCGAAGATCAGATCAGATTTGTACTGGAACTGTTCACAGGATTTCTTTGGCATTTTTTAAAGAATTTCTTTAAAATACTCAAATAAATCCAACTTGGGACTCCGACTCTCTATGGTAATACGTACATAATTTTCTTCAAAACGATCTAGAAATTATCTAAATAAAGCTATTGAAATTCGCTCTGCAATTCACTCATAATTACCTGTAAATCATCCTCATTATTCTGTTCATACTTCTGTTTCCCCAGCATTTTCTTAGTATTTCTAGAAAACTTCAATGGAACTATTCCTTAAATTATTTTTGAATTCTGCGCAGGAATTCCTCAAAGCATGCTTCAGAATTCTCGTAGAATTTCACTTAGTTTCCATGCTGATTGGAACACTCGATGGTATTCCTTTCAGGCTCTCCTAAAAATTCCCCATAATTCTCCTCAGAATTCCTGTTGAATACACCTTAAACTAACGTTGGATTTATCCTCAGAACTTCCCATCCAATTCTCTTCATAATTCTTTTAAAATTCTCTAAATTTACCTGTAACTCTCCTCACAATATTCCTAGGAATTCATGAAATTTCCTCCTCTTCTCTGGTGGAATCATGCTTCGATCTTCCGTTGAATTTCTCGTCAGAATTGAATTAGAATGCTCTCAGAGCTCACTTGAAATTATTCTCACATTTGCTTTGTAATTATGCTTGAATAATATTTTGAATATTCTTCTCACTTTGGAATCCAACTTCGAATTAAATTTAAGCTCTTCTCATTTGAGTTCTTCTCAGAACTATCAAGGAATTCTTCTCATAACTCGCTAATGAGCATTTACCAGGATATACCAGAAAAGGCCTCAGAATTACCTTGGAAGCATTCCATAGATTTTGCTTGAAGATCTCTTCAAAACAAAAATGAAATTCCCGTCAGAACTCTCTTATCTTATGCAGAATTCCCTTTAAGCTAGCCTCAACTTACTGATTTACTGATTTACTGATCTGATTTACTGATTTACTGATTTTACTGATTTGCTGATTTGCTGATTTACTGATTTACTGATTTTCTAATTTACTGATTTAATGATTTAATGATTTACTGATTTACTGATTAACTGATTTACTGATTTTACTGATTTGCTGATTTACTGATTTACTGATTTACTGATTTACTGATTTACTGATTTACTGATTTACTGATTTACTGATTTACTGATTTACTGATTTACTGAATTACTGATTTACTGATTTACTGATTTACTGATTTACTGATTTACTGATTTACTGATTTACTGATTTACTGATTTACTGATTTACTGATTTACTGATTTACTGATTTACTGATTTACTGACTTTCTGATTTTATGATTTACTGATTTACTGATTTACTGATTTACTGATTTACTGATTTACTGATTAACTGATTTACTGATTTTACTGATTTGCTGATTTACTGATTAACTGATTAACTGATTTACTGATTTACTGATTAACTGATTTACTGATTAACTGATTTACTGATATACTGTTTTACTGATTTACTACTGAATAACTGATTTACTGATGCACTGATTTACTGATTAACTGATTTACTGATTTACTGATTTACTGATTTACTGATTTACTGATTTACTGATTTACTGATTTACTGATTAACTGATTAACTGATTTACTGATTTTACTGATTTGCTGATTTACTGATTAACTGATTAACTGATTTACTGATTTACTGATTTACTGATTTACTGATTTACTGATTTACTGATATACTGTTTTACTGATTTACTGATTAACTGATTAACTGATTTACTGATTTACTGATTTACTGATTTACTGATTTACTGATTAACTGATTTACTGATTAACCGATTTACTGATTTTACTGATTTGCTGATTTGCTGATTTACTGATTAACTGATTAACTGATTTACTGATTTACTGATTTAACTGATTTTACTGATTAACTGATTTACTGATTTTACTGATTTACTGATTTACTGATTTACTGATTTAATGATTTACTGATGCACTGATTTACTGATTTACTGATTTACTGATTTACTGATTTACTGATTTAATGATTTACTGATGCACTGATTTACTGATTTACTGATTTACTGATTTACTGATTTACTGATTTACTGATTTACTGATTTACTGATTTACTGATTTACTGATTTACTGATTAACTGATTTACTGATTAACTGATTTACTGATTTTACTGATTTGCTGATTTACTGATTAACTGATTAACTGATTTACTGATTTACTGATTTAACTGATTTTACTGATTAACTGATTTACTGATTTTACTGATTTACTGATTTACTGATTTACTGATTTAATGATTTGCTGATGCACTGATTTACTGATTTACTGATTTACTGATTTTACTGATTTGCTGATTTACTGATTAACTGATTAACTGATTTACTGATTTACTGATTTAACTGATTTTACTGATTAATTGATTTATTGATTTATTGATTTATTGATTTATTGATTTACTGATTTACTGATTTACTGATTCACTGATTAACTGATTTACTGATTTTACTGATTTGCTGATTTACTGATTAACTGATTAACTGATTTACTGATTTACTGATTAACTGATTTACTGATTAACTGATTTACTGATATACTGTTTTACTGATTTACTACTGAATAACTGATTTACTGATGCACTGATTTACTGATTAACTGATTTACTGATTTACTGATTTACTGATTTACTGATTTACTGATTTACTGATTTACTGATTTACTGATTAACTGATTAACTGATTTACTGATTTTACTGATTTGCTGATTTACTGATTAACTGATTAACTGATTTACTGATTTACTGATTTACTGATTTACTGATTTACTGATTTACTGATATACTGTTTTACTGATTTACTACTGAATAACTGATTTACTGATGCACTGATTTACTGATTAACTGATTCACTGATTTACTGATTTACTGATTTACTGATTTACTGATATACTGTTTTACTGATTTACTGATTAACTGATTAACTGATTTACTGATTTACTGATTTACTGATTTACTGATTAACTGATTTACTGATTAACCGATT